ACTGCTGCTCTGTTCCTTGATTGCATCAAGCATGTTTCTGTATAAGGGGGTTCTCCGAGCAGCTGGCCCTGGCTCTTGTGCTAGTAAACCATTTTGGCAGAGATCCAATAAGAGATGCACCCAGAACTCAGTGCTGCCTCTCAGTGCCCAGGCCCCGCCCCTTCCTTGTGTGGCAGGTGAGGCCACATACCACTTCCTTCCCACAGAGGCCAGCCTGCAGGAGTGCTTGTGTCATTCAGGTAGGTGGGGCCTCTAAGACCCAGAGTCCCCACAGAGAGCTGTGAGTGAACAGGGCAGTTTGTCCACTTTCGGGTCCTCCAGCAGCCCCCAGGGCCTCCTGGCTGGCCCGGGTCCCCTGTACCTGCCTCCCCTTCTATATCAAGCCCCCAGCTCTGCTCTTGCTGGGAAAGGGGTCTGGAATCTTCAGCGTAGCCTCAACGTATCATCAAAGGAACCTGGTGTCCCCGACACGAGGCTGGCCTCACTCTGCTGCCTAGGAGTCCTGCTTTGACAAAAGAAGTCTTGGTGGCCAGTGCCATGTTGAGCGGGGAACTGTACCTGCTTAAGTGGGTCTTCTCACATGGGCCCCTCACCCCAAATACTTCCCGGTGCTGACCCCACTGTCCAGACTCCAGTGTGACATTGGGGTGAGTCTCCAGGCCCTGGCCAGGACATTGTGATGTCAATCGGAGGGACTTGGACTTGCCTACAGAGTGCAAGTGTGGGTGTCAGCTTGAGTTTACGTAGCAAATTATGAATTTATTGTCAACTCGGATTCGATCCATGAATTTTTATATAAGCAATAACTTTGTGATCAACAGAAGAAATTTGAGAACAGAGGGTCTCCTTTTCTTGTACTTGGTGCAGTCCTAGCATCCTGGGCCCCACAGAAGCACTGGATATTGTGGCATGTATATTACAAACAGGGCATTTGAAAGCAATTTTGCCAAAATTGTCATAGCTGAATTTTTGCTGTATGGACTTTCTGACTTTTCTTCTTTTTCTTTCGTTTTCTTTCTTTCTCCCCTTCCTCCCTTCCTCCCTTCCTTCCTCCCTCCCTCCCTCCCTCCTTCCCTCCTTCCCTCTACCAGTCTTAGTTGGGAAAGAAAGGAGAAACAATTATATTAAGATATTTTCAAATTATAGGTTTACAAAGTTCAGATTCACTGATTACAATCACATGGATTCATAGACTCTATATAGCCTTCTTACAGCATGGGGTAGGTTTATTAACGTTTAGGACTGGCCGTCTTTCACCATGTTGAGGGGATTTTAACAGTAAAATTCCCATTTATACTTCTATCTGTATCATTCTCATAGTTAATTGCCAAAACAAAAGCATTTTATATATTGAGTTGGGGTGGGGTAGGTCTTCCTGTGGGGTCGCATGGAAGGGAAGATTTGTATAATGCTTGTCAACACATCCTCCCCAAATCTCAAGCAATATACAGAAATTTCAGTAGATTAAACTCCAGCCCATTAAATGTGAGCGTGTGCTTTGCCATCTGATGTGGATTTTGTTTTTTGTTTTTGGCTTTTTTAAGACAGGGGTTCTCTCTGTAGTTCTGGCAGTCCTGGAACTTGGTAGTCCAGGCTGGCCTCAAACTCAGAGATCTACCTGCCTCTGCCCTCCTGAGTGTTGCCACCATACTTGGCTGGTTTTGATTTTTATGATAATTTGGTTGCCCTTGGTGGGCTTTCCAAACTTGTTCATTCAAATAAGCAGTGAAATCAGTAAATGGTGCCAGTAGCTGGAACAGAGTGGGCTCAGTGTTGTTTTGTTTTTTCCTACCCTCCCTTGAGTGCCCGCCCTCCACCTACCAGACTGGAAACTGACTTTAACTCCTCTAATAAAAATAATGAGCCCTCCATGTCCTTCTTTGATAATCTCCCATTTGTTATAAGATGACCTAAGTCAGAAAGAAAAAAGTAGTTCCTTCCACTCCCAGTGAGACTCAAACTCTGTCTGGGCCAGAAGCCATTCATTCATCGAAAGGCTGAAATTGCAAACAGCCTCCCTTCTGTTTTCAAAAGTACGGGCCTGACTGTTTTTAGAGAGATTGGTTTATCTAAGGAGGTCTGTCTCCCTGCTGTAAAATGCCTTTTCAAACCTTCTCCCTTTTTCATAGTTCCTGTAGGGTGTTTGTAGGATTAGTGATCATTGCCTGTTTCTTCCCCAGGGCTGGGGAAGAAGACAGGCAACTCCTCAACCTCCTGCCCCTCAGCCATCACCTGAAAACTCAGGTGCAGCCACATGTCAGGCTCTGTGTGCCTCGCTTCAGAGCATCCGCCTTGAGAGGAGTCACCTTCCAGTAAGAATGGGCAGAACGGTTACTTCAGATGTACATCTCAATAGTCCTTAAGTAGCAAACAGGGTGGCACCAGTCTTGGCTGCTAGGAAACTGCATTTAACTTACGAATAGGGTCGTAAGATGTGTTGGCAGTATTGCGTCACCCACAGCCACCCCAGTGGTGAACACGGGCTTGCTTGCTGAAGCCTGCACAGGCAAAGCCGGGTCTTGATGGTCAGACTTGTGCATGTACCCACTGTTGCGTCCTGTTCACAGCCAGGGGCCTGGGTGGGGCAGTCACGCCTACCGGGCTGCCACCTACTGGGTTGTACTAGTTAACACAATCAGAAAGGGTTCACGGCAATATAACAGTTAATGAACTTGGAATTTAAATTGTGTACATTTTTAAATTGTAAGATTTTTACTGTATATTGAAGCTTAGTGTGATTCAATAAATTGCTTGTAATTTAAAAATATTTAATATTCAAAATAAATACAGTTATATATTTATAAACTCGGTTGCTACGTTTATTCCTTTTTTTTTTTTTTTCTTTCCATTGTAGGGTTGGCCTGGTACTGTGGGTCTCTGAGCTCCTAAGGGCATGAGGATAGTTCTCAGAGGACCATAGAGTCTGGTGCATGTGTGGCTGTGGTTTCTCTAACCCAAGCCTATGTACTTACTGAAGAGTTGAGGTGAGATTTGGCTTAAAATGTCTTGCCTGGGCCAAGCCTTCAAGTGCTATTCCAAGAGGCTCACAACTAGACTTTCAGGCTGGAGAAATGGCTTATGTGCTGAGAAGACCCATGTTTAATTTCCAAAACCCATGGAGTTTAAACATGACAAGGCCAGGTAGGGTGGAGCCTGCAAGCTTGTTGCCCAGTTCTGGAGAGGCAGAGACGGCAGGCCCTGGTTCACTGGCCGGCCTACATACCGCACCATTCCAGGCCGGTGAAAAACTGTCTCAGAAACAAAACAAGCAAAAAATGGTGAACTCTGGAGAGTAACAGTTGGTGTTGAACTCTGATCTCCACACTCTATGAATGTGCACAGGCACCGCCACATATACCGACACCAAACAAAACAGCCTTTCCCTAACCCCAGCACCTGAGATGCTAAGGCAGGAAGCCTGCGATGAGCTCAGGACGAGCCTAGGCTATGGTATGAATGAAGTCCTATCTCAAAAACAGTCGCTGAGCTGGGCGCAGTGGCGTATGCCTGTAATCCCAGCACTGGGGGAAGCAGAGGAGATCTCTGCAAGTTCGAGGCCAGCCTGGTCTACAAAGTGAGTCCAGGACAGCTAAGGCTACACAGAGAAACCTTGTCTTGAAAAACCAAAAAACAGCTTTTCTGTGCAGTATTGGTGTGACTCCGTGGCACCTGACCCCTCTCTCCTGTTGTTTCACTGAAGTCCAAGTGACATGACGGAGGTGTCAGTTTCCGGAACCCTGGCCCACAGGCGGGTCTGCCAAGCATGCGAACCTGCCTAGAGATTCCTGGCTGCGTTTTGACATGTCCTATTAGCCTATGGGGGAAAAGCTACTATTAGTGGAGCATAGTGACCAGTTATAATACCCGCACTGAGGCCGAGGACAGCCTTGGCTATGGAGTCTCTGTCTCTAAAAGAAAAAAAAGAGCCAGGGATGTAGTTCAGCCTGCGTGAAGCACTGGGTTTGGTCTCCAGCACCACTCTGCCACTATGGGCGTCTGTAATCACAGCACTCACTGGATTAAAGAATATATATTCTCAGCACATCTTTGTCAGTAGTTGAGTCCAAAACGCTGAAGCTGAGCCGAGTGTGTCATTACGCACTTGTAATTCTAGCACTTGGGAGGCAGAGGCTGGAGGATCAGGTGCTCAGGGCTAGCCTGTGCTACAGCCAGCAAAATGGCTCAGCTGGAAAAGTCACTTGCTGCCAAGCCTAATGACCTGAGTTCATCCCGGGACCCCCATGGTGGAAGTAGAGAACAGACTCCTGCAAGTCGTTCTTTGACTGTGAGCGCACACACCAAAACTAAATAAATAGACAAAAACTAAAGGTGTACATTGAATGGGTGGATGAGTGAGTGAGTGAGTGAATGGCTAGCACAGGAAATCTGCCTTCTGTGAGCACCGTGACAGCCATGTGGAGGTCAGAGGGCAACTTGTGGGAGTTGATTCTTGCCTTCCACCAGGTCTCAGACTGAAGTCGTCAGACTTGGCGTCCGTCAGATGCCCCTTCCCGCAGCCATCTCAGGGCCCTTGTAACCTGGGGAAACCGAGGCAGGAGCTATCAATTACAGCAGGTAGGTTTTCCTACTCGTGAAGACCTACCCTGGGAGCTCTGGGGACCTGAGTGGCATCCCTGATGTACCCACCCCACTTCAGTAAGGGGGAGACAAAAAGGGGAAGGAGACCTCGAGCCCTGTGGACCTGCAGAGTTCGCTCTGGAGCCGGGAGGAGAGGTCGTGGCGGTCTTGTGCAGGGAGGTGGCTGCGGTTCCGGTAAGGTTGCAGGGTGGCTTATCCTAGACTCTGTTCTGTTCGGAGCCTTAACCCCTGGCCAAGGCCAGGTGTCCTGGCCGGGTGCGGGTCTGGGGTTTCCCTGCCCCAGCAAGTCCCAGAGGGAGAGAAGGGGAGGTGTGTCCAGAGCTGGGGGCGTGGCCGCAGGTGCCGCCCTGGCCCCACCCAGCGAGCTCATTTACATGCTTCCCGCGGCCCCGCCTGTGGTGGCTAAAGCGACGTGTCCTTGTCCCCCCGTGGGCAGCCTCTGCGCGTGTGGCTTCGGATCCCCAGGTAAACCAAGGGGTTGCGGGACCTGGATGGGACTGCTGGGAGGGCACCCAGAGGCGGGACCAGAAGGCCGGCAGCTGCGGGGGGCAAAATACAGTGGTGGCTCCACGCAGACCGCCTGGTGCCATCCACGTGCTGGAGCTGGGGGCTCCTGCAGGGCCTTGGCAACTGGCAGTCTGACCTGTGAGCTGTCCTGTGTGCACGCACTGCGGTTCCGGTTCTGATAATGTCCAGGAGAGCTGTAAACATCACGTCTAAGGGGTGCTGCCTGTCTTTGGGACAAATGACAGTGTGTGTATGGGGGGAACCCATAAGCCAGGGTTGGGACCTGTTTCTGGGTGGTTTAATTGTCAGGGGGTACCTAGGTGCAGGAGGTATTTGCAACAGTAAGGGGCATGGGACCTGAAAAGGGTTTTCAGATCAGTGGGGAGCTAAAAGTGGGTCAGTGTGAGTTCGCCCAGGGCTTTGGGTGCACAGGTGAGTCAGCTCAGGGCTCAGCGTGAATGGGAAGCACCTAGGTGTCCTCTGTTTGCCAGTGCTCAGCTAGGCTGGCTGTCGCCCCCATTGCACTGGAAAGCAGCAGCGAGACAGCCAGGCTGGCATGGCCTGTGGCCACGCTGAGTGACCGCAGAGGGGCTCTGTTCTGAATTTCAGTTTGAAGGACCTCTCCCCCAGCCACCGCCTCCTGGGGAAACCAGCCTGGAGCTATGAAGACCAAAAACCGGCCCCCTCGGCGCCGGGCAGCCACGCAGGACACAGAAGCCACCCCAGGAGAGCAGACACCCGACAGACCCCAGTCGGGCTCGGGGGGCTCGGAGCTGACAAAGGGTCTTCGGAGTAGGATCGCCCGTGCAGGTGGGGCCCGGGCAGAGGTCAGCCGCCGGCGACAGGGGTCCGGGGGCCGCCGGGAGAACAGCGTTCAGAGGCGGCTGGAGAGCAATGAGCGGGAGAGGCAGCGGATGCACAAACTCAACAACGCCTTCCAGGCACTGCGAGAGGTCATTCCGCACGTGCGGGCCGACAAGAAGCTCTCCAAGATTGAGACCCTGACGCTGGCCAAGAACTATATCAAGTCGCTGACCGCAACCATACTCACCATGTCCAGCAGCCGCCTCCCGGGGCTGGAGGGGCCAGGCCCTGCACCAAGCCCTAAGCTCTACCAGCACTACCACCACCAGCAGCAGCAGCAGCAGGTGGCTGGGGCCACGCTTGGTGTCACAGAGGACCAGCCCCAAGGCCACCTGCAGCGATACTCAACGCAGATCCACAGCTTCAGAGAGGGGAGCTAGCGCCCGCCCTGAGCTCCCGGGGTGCCCAGCTCAGCTCTGCTCTGCAACCTTCGCGCCACGAGCCCCAGACTGCTGATGGCATTCTTGAGACTGCTTCCGGGATTTTGTCGTTGGCGGCCCAGGCTGGCCTTGAACTCATCCTCCACTTTCTCTAGGGCTGGGATCACAGGCACACCTCCCCACATGGTGCAAGCGCTCTACCAACTGAGCTACATCCCCAGTCCAAGGTTGCCTACTGACTCCGTTTTTCTTGAAGGCCAGCTCAGACACCAACATGTGACAGTTTTTCCTAGCTGCCCAGGGTCAAGGGAGCGATCTGGGCCTTCTAGGTATACTGAGGCCAAAGTCTCTGCAGAATGCCTGCCCCAGACTTAACAGCTTTTTTGACAAAATATATGGGCAGGATGGGAAAGTTCATTCTTTTTGTGTGTGGCAGCCAAGGGGTGATTCCAGGAAAAACTTGACTTACAAATGTCCCTGCTCTCACTGAGCCCAAGGTACACCCCATATTGTGGGGCTACAAGGAAGCTGGACTCAAGGCCCATCAGGGAATATAGCAAAAGCCACAGTGGCGGCTCGTTTTACATGAGCCATCTTAGCAGCCCAGATGCCCTGGGCCCAACTCAACAACTGGAGTTAGAAAGGCCTAGCCAGGCCCCATCTCATGGGACTTTAGGTGGCTAAGGGGCTTCTCCCTCTTTCTCTTTCCCAAGTGGAGACTTCTGGAAAAGCTGCAGTGTCCTAGGTTGTGGCTGTCCACAACCTGTGTGGGGACCAGGCAGGGTCTTTGTGAAGAGCACCCTTGAGCCTCTGTACAAGGATAGACTTGTCCTGGACCTCTTATAGCCCTCCCCACCCCCTCCCCCATTCCAATAGAGGGGTGCGCCACTCTTGCCTTTGCCCCTGATGTGTGGTTGCCACGTGCTCTTTCACAGGCTGATGGACTTAGCTCTGGGCACCTATGGTGTTTTCTGAGGTAGAAGCTCCCTGAGCCGGAGCATTAATAACGAGGACTGAGTGCTGGCAACCTTGCTGCCCGAAGCCCAGCTTCCGTCTTTTGGGTGTTCCTGCTCCAATGGGTCTGCCAGGCTTCAGTACTTTGCTGTCAATTGCTTTTGGCCTCTTTCCTTCTTCCCTTGTCTTTCTGCCCAGACCCGTCCTGGAGTTCCTTGGGGCCCAGCCCCCCCTTTTAGAGTGACAGAAGTCTCACAGTGTAGCCTAGGCTAACCCTAAACTACACAGCCCAGGCTGGTTTTGCACTTGTGTTTGGTCCATCCTCCTGCTTCAGACCCCAAGTGAACCCTACCCCAAGTGCTGTGAACACAGGTGCAGGAGGAGAGCCATGGCACCCCAAGAAATAGATAAGATAGTTACCTTAGGCCTGGGGGTGTTGGTCTCCCCACCCTAGGAGAACTTGATTGGTACCGCTTTCCAGTTCTGGAGAGCTGGTCTGGTCCTTCACAGATCGTAGGTCAGGTAGAAACTGAAGGCCTTTGTGTCTGTGATTTAGGGATGGTTACTAGTTAAGGTCAGTAGTTAGGGGATTTGCCAGTGTGAGCTGAGGCCAGGCACAACTCCAGTTGGAAAGAGCTCAGATAGCTCCCTGACTATAGGGACCTGCCCCGAGGAACACAAAAGGCCTCTGCTGACAGACAGTCCTACAGACCCAGTGGCTGATCTCCACATGAGCCAAGGCCAGATCTGGGCTCATTTCATCCAACCCTGTCTGGAAGCACAGGGAAAGGAGGGGGAAGACATCCAGCCAAACTTCTGGCCTGGCTGCAGTCTGGCTGGCTCAGGCCCAGGGCTGTCCAGGGTAGCTGCCTGGCAGGACCACAGCCTCATGGCTCTTTGTGCCCCTCAAGCTCGCACGTGCACCCGCTGCTTCCCAGGGGATGACCTGGGCCTCGCTGTCCACTTTACTGTTGATCAGATCACAGCGGACCTTTCAGGAACCCCAGTCCCATTGGGAGGCCGGGGGACAAGTCTGTGATACCAGCAAGGCCTGCCACTCTGTCTCCCTGTCCCAAGCCCAGGCTGGTCTTTTTGAGGTCTCATGTAGCTTAGGTTGACCTCCAACTTGCTATGGAGTGAAATGACAGAATTCTGCCTCTACCTCTGGTGCTGGGATCGACTACTCTTCCCACACTCAGTTTAGGCAGTGCTGGGGATTGAACTCAGGCTTGGAGGGAGCATCTTTGGCAACAGATCTACACCCCATCCTGGTCTCTTTCTGAGTTTACTCAAGCCCCTGGACGAGAGAGATGGAGCTGCCCCATCCCCGACCAGGCCACCTGGACTGTGGAGCCGCCAGATCTAATCAGCTTCCCATGGCAGAGAAACGAGAATTGTGTCCTGCCTGGAAAAGAACAGGCTATTTTTCCCCAAATGTTTCCCTCAAAGGACTAATGAAATTGCCAGCTATGTCTTAAGACGGTAAGATTTCACGGCCACCGTGCTTTGGTCCTGGAGACCTGTGCCTTTTAATTCAAATGCCTAATAAAGATACGTTAGTCATGCTGTTGGTATAAATTTTTATTAAATAGAACATTTAAGGAACCTAGACAGTTCAGTGCCACTGAGGGGGTGAACGGTTGGTGCTCAGCAGCGAGAGGTGTCACCCTGGTTAAAAAGCAGCGTTGCCACCCTGGCGGTGCTCCGCCAAAACCATCTGCAGAGTGCGCGGGTCACAGTTGCTGGGGCACAAGCGGGGGTGCCCACAGGAAGGTGACCTCCGGACACCTCCCTGCACGTGGCTGTGTCTGGTCCTACCTCTGGAAATGCTAAGGACACGGGCTCCTCAGATGCCCCTGGGACACCCCTCACACAGATCAGCCTTCCTGACCACAGCGTCACACAGGCAGGATTCCAGGGCAAATGCCTGTTAGGGGCCGAGTCTCTCAAAGTGAGCAGGTGGGGCTTGGCTCTGGCACTCCTGAGACATCACCCACTGGGTACACTTTTGCCAGGGGCCAGTGCTTAGGCCGTGCCAGGCAGGCTAGCGCTCTCTTGGGACAGTAGGTGCCTTCTGCCCATCCCTGGGGCACAAGACAGCCTGGGGCTCTGGCCATACCCTCTCCACAGGGAACAGATTTCTTCATTCAACTCTAGGGTGCAAGCTGCCTCCTCCCCAGACCTGGCCACACTGCAACACGGTCCTGTGCAGGGAGGTTCTGCCTCCATCCCAAAGAGGGGCTAAACTGGGGTTCGTGGCGATTTTCAAGTGCACCCGGGGGGTGGCCCCAAAACACCAGGACAGCCCCGTCTCATTTTCCCCCAAGACAGAGTAGCCCTGGCTGTCCCAGAACTCACTTTGTAGACCAAGCAGGCCTCAAACTCAGAGAGATCCCCCTGCCTCTGCCTCCGAAGTGCTGTGATTAAAGGCATGTGCCACTACACCTGGCTCCCATCTCACTTTTGAGGCAGGGTCTACGTAGCCCAGGCTGACCTCAAACTTACTATGGAGCCTGAGGATGCCCTTAAACTCCGGATCTTGCCTTCACCTTCTGAGTACTGGGAATACAGACATGCACCAACATGCCTGCTTTATTTATCTAGATTTTTTTTTTTTTTTTGAGATAGTCTTGCCTGTCTCAGTCTCCTGAGTGCTGGACAATCCTCCTGCCTCAGTCTCCTGAGTGCTGGGCCTACAGGCATCAGCCACCAAACCCAGCTCCTTTGCTTAACTTTTGAAGGAAAACCCCATTTGGAAACCTGCCAGGGAATGACCACACACCGAGGCCTATCCACCTGAGCCCCACAACTATTTCTCCTGGAGGTGCTTTGCAGGCTGCGGGTGAGGAAGGGGCTTCCCTGGTCTGCCCCTCTAGACGGAGAATTCTGGAGGGCTCCGAGTTCCTGGGCTGGAAAGGTGGGAGGGTTAGCAGGGAGGGACGGGGGCTGAGGGCCCCAGGCAGCAGTCGTCGCTTCCGCTCTTCCCTACAGCATCCCTCACAGTCTGGGGACACGTGTTCCCCCCCCCCCCCAGTTTCACATCTTTGGGCACTTTGCCAGTGTTTCAGAAGTGGCTGACTTTGGCCTGACTCCCCATGTTCGGGGGCCTGGGTGATGCCCATGCCGCACAACAAAGGCCTCAGTTCTGCTCCTTCAGGCTCGAACCACCCTTGCCTCCAGGTGAGGAGAGGCCTCAGCAGCAAACAGGACCTGGACCATGGGCCTCCTGCTCCCTGGACACATTCCTAGGTAGTGTGGTGGCATTGGCCCGGACAGAGATATGGTCCCAGCCTCCCTACAATCAGAAAGCCGTATCACTCAGGACCAACTGTCCTCTCGCCAACCCCCACGCTTAAAACAGTACCAGGTTGCCATTGTACTCACTCCAATGCCATAGTCCCAGCCCTGTCCCTTGGGCTCCCGAGGTTGGACACCCACTCGACGACACACTGTCCCCCGGCTTAGGCCATGGCTCCCCTGGACTTTGTTGGCAATCACCCAGACCTGGAACGGAGCGGGTAGCTGGGTACAGAAGGGAGAGAGCAGAGAGGGGACCCCGACTCCCCACTGCCAAGTAGCCCGCTCTCCCCTCACCTGGTCCAGCGGCCCCACAGACACTTTGCGCACGTTGTTGGACACGTGTTCCCAGCTGGAGCCCTGCGGGTAGCTGGGGGTGATCCCAGCTCGGTACCACAGGTTCCCTGTGCAGGAAAGCACCCACCGTGACATCAACCCCCAGGTCCCCTCCAATCCTTCACACCCAAGGGCTCTGGCTGACCCACAGCCAGGAGCCTGGGCCACAGACAGCCCTGTCTGTGTTGTTGGCTTCATAATCATCTCATTGTGCCTCTTGGGGCTGACAGCGTTAGCCTTTCTGCTGTGGTAGAGGCCGAGGACAAAGAATGTTTTAAGCAAATAAAAAGAGAACTGGATCTGGACGAAAAACCCTGGACTCCAAGACGGTTTTCTTTTCAGAGCCTCATGTAGCACAGGCTAGCTTTGAAGCCCTGAGCCAGCTGCCTCCATCTCCCCGCACTGAGATCATAGGGGTATACGCCACATACCAGGTGTATGTGGGGCTGGGATTGAACTCGGGGCTCTGTGTGCGCGAGGCTGGTGCTCTATCTACTGAGCTGAGGCCTTACCACAGGATGGCCTCAACCTCGATCCTTTTGACCTAGCTTTTCCAGTTCGATATTATAAGACACACCCCACCACACCTGCCGCAGGTTTTCAGACAGGGGCTCATGTGTTCCAGGCTGGTCTTGAACTTATTTAACAAGAATGGCCTGAACTTCTGATCCTCCTGCCTCAACCTCCCAAGTGTTAGGATTACAGGCATGTGCTACGCTTCTGCCTTTCCTACCCAACTCATCAATACCATCAGTAAAATCTTGAAGAGGACTAGGCCAGGGCCCTGTCTGAGGTGACACAGGGGATCTCCTAGAGGACGCTCTAGCTCTCGGCCTTCCTAACGCTGCAACCCTTTAATACAGTCCCTCTTGTTGTGCCGACAGAATTATTTTTGTCGCTACTTCATAACTGTAATTTTGCTGTTATGAATCATAACGTAAACATGTTTTCCAATGGCCTTTGGCAACATCAAAGGGGCCATGACCCCCAGGTTGAGAACCACTGCTCTAGATGCTTCTGGGGCTGTGGTCACAAACTAAGTTGAGGGAAGAGGTCAAGGCTGGCTCTGAGCTGACTTCATGGTTTCATGTAGGAGCCCTAGGAGCTTTGCTGTTCTGCCTTGGTCTAGGTCCTCGGTCCAGTGTCCTGTCTCCACGGTGCATCTCCATGATGCAGGAAGGTGACCCTAACAAGTTCCTTGACCCCAGGGAAACAGCACAGAAAGGTCTGGACATTTCCAAAGGATGACATCCCAGCCTACTTATGGCCAACTGGGGTATCCGTGGAACCCTATCCTCCCCCAGTGACCATGCAGACGCCCAAGTAACTTGCCGTTTTCATCCAAGGCATATACTGACGTCTGGCCCACAGACACCTGTGTCAGCTTCTGTTTGGGAGGCGATGGGATGTGGTACCAGCAGTCGCCTGTGAGGGGAGAGCCGACTCAGGAGCCCAGACCCAGGCCACTAGAGTTCCAAACCCCACAGCAGGCTGACTCCTTGAGGGGAGAGCCGGCTCAGGAGCCCAGACCCAGGCCGCCTAGAGTTCCAAACCTCACAGCAGGCTGACTCCTTGCGGCCAGCCTTCAACCCCAGCCGAACCAATGTGTGGCTGGGGCTCAGCGCGTGAGCTGAGGGTCACAAAAGGCCACCTCAGGCTCTGCCATCCACCCCGTTGCCCAGGTTTGCCCAGGGCTCTGCAGGGCTCATCCTGGGTTCTGATATCAAGCCCACCTCATCCATATGACATGAAGATGCCCAGCCTGGCACATGGTTGGGAGATGGGACTCAGTGGCTGCCCTTCGACCCCCTGCAAAACCCAGCAAAGAACAGGCCAGGATGGCTTGTGCATGCTGAGATAACTCTCATGGCCCCAATGGCTCAGTAGCCCTCACCAGGGGTGCTGGTCCAGGCTGTCCTTGTGTGGATGAGGTGGCTTCTGGGCAAGGAGCCCAATTCACACCCAGACCTGCTCCAGAGGAAACCCTCAAAACTGAGTAAGAGACCTGCCCGCCATCTTTCCATAATCCACCACAGTGGGGCTAGCGGTGGGGGGGGGGGGCGGTTAGGTGCCACTCACCAGCTGGCTGGGAGGGCGACACAGAGCCCCGGTAGAATGCAGAGCCATCCCTGGCCACAGCCCACACCTGATAGCAGGCGCCGATGGAGACGGAGGTGAAGGGCTGGTCTGTGCCAACGTGCAGCCAGGAGGAGCCCTGGGATGGGGGGAAGAGATCACTGAGGGGCCAATGGGACTGCCTGGCCTCCTCTCCCCTAAGGCCGAGACTCAAAGTGTAAGCCTGCCCGGGAGGCAAAGGGCCTCCAGGGCCCAGCCTGCTCTGACGTAGCCCTAACTACAGCCTGACCTTGGCCTACTGTTGAGCCCCAGGACTCGGGCCTCTCAAAGGAAAGGTATGGACGTGTGCACGTCACCAAGGAGCCACCATGCCACCTGCCCCACCCCCATCACTCCCAGGCTGAAGAGACGGCAACCTCCTCCTTGGCACTGCCTGCCTCATTTGGATTACATGTGACGCCCTCCCACCCCGGAGATCCATTCTGGGCAGGTCTGGGGAAACCCGAGGCCAGGTGCCTCGCACAGAAGAATCCTGAGGCCTACAAGACTCTACAGAAACAGGGACGACCCCGAAAGGCCAGAGAGCGGGTGCTCACCGCAGGGTTGAGTTCAGAGATACCCAGGCGGCACAGGACGTCCCCCTTGTCACTGACAGCCCACAGTGCAATGCTGTGTCCTTGCCCGTCAGCACCCGCACTCTCTGGGATGATGGACACATCGCTGAGGGCAATGGGAGCCACCTCCAGCCATGGCCCGCTGGTCACCAGCTTGCATTTTCTGTTCAGGGAAATATCTGAGTCTGGGGACCGTGTGTCACTGCTCACCACAGCCCAGTATGCAGAAGCCAAGATGGACGGCCCTAACAGGTAGACTGCAGCCTCAAGGACTTGGGGGAGGGGAGGGGCAGCCAGTGGAGGGGAATGTCAGGCTCCTGTCTGTCCCTTGCCCTTCCCCCCAGCTCACCCTCCAACCTACAAGCACAGCCGAGCCAGTGACATTTCTCTTATTTGTTCTTCAGAACAAACTTCAGAAAGCAGAGCGCAGGGAGCCCGCAGGCACTTCCTGGCCTGACATTTACTTTGAGCCTGGTTTCTCCCTCCCTGCTTCTTTCCTGGGGCCTGAAGTCAGAGGCCAGCAGTTCTGGCTCAAGAGAAGCCAACGTCCCCTTTCCCTGCGTGTAGAGGAGGAGCGGGGCCTGAGCCTACCACCCTGAAGGCTCTCTTACCTGGCCCAGCACCTTCTCCTGACAAAATCCTTCATGGTTTTGTAGCCATGGTAGGAGCTGCAAGAGGAAGGAATGGGGCAATCCAGATCATTTCGTGGAACTTTCTAGAAAGTGGCACTGCACACACATTCTTTTCCCGAGTCTAAGTCACACGAGTAGAGGAGGGGTCGAGGTGGCTGCGTACAGTTCTCCTAGCTGCTCCAAGGTGGTCAGGGCTGAACTGTAGCTTTCAGGGGGTCCCTGAGGCCTGGGCATGGCAGTTGCCATCCAGAGTGCCAGGCTCAGCAGCCCTGGGCCTGTCCCCTCCCCAATCACTATCAGAGGGTGCTCGGGGAGTGGGAGCCTTCAGTCTGGTTGAGGGCTGGAGTCAGTCTGAGGGTCCTCACTGCCACCTGAGGGGGTCTCACCCCGAGTCTGCTCAGAAGCCATCCAGCTAGGGGCCTGGCTCGGGTTCTTCCGGTTCACTGTTCTTCTGATCGGACATGTGCACTTTGAGGAGCCTAAACCGGTCTCACGGGCTCTCGACACACGAGAGCTGCCGGCACCAACTTTCTGACTTGCAATCCACTTGTGTTCATAGGTGTGTGTGTGTGTGTGTGTGTGTGTGTGCACGCACACTGTGTCTATACGGAGGATGGACTGCTGCCCTTGGCTGCCCTTCCTCAGGCACTCCCCCCTGCCCTGACTGGCGACACATACATTTTTGAGGCAAGGTAGGCTGGCTAGTGAGCCCCAGGGATCCTCCTGTTTCTGCCTCCCCAAGAGCTGGGAATACAGGTGTGATACAGGGTGCTAGGGCTCAAATCCAGGCCCCGTGTTTGCAAGGCAAGCCCTTTGCATGCTGAGCCTAACATTCCACCTACTGCACCTCTTCCCCACTTTCCTCAGCATGCCTGGCTTCCCAGAAGGCCTCACTCTAAAGGACTCCTACTGCCCTGTTAGCAGGAACGCTCTCCCTCATATTGCTGCTCCCATCGCCTGTCATTCAGGGCTTGGCTTATAGCCCACCCCTACCCCCACCCCCCAGAAGCTGCAGTGGTTCCAAGGTTTCTCTTGCCCTCCCTGAGCCTCTTAGGCCAAGGTCACGTTATTGGGCCTTGTTGGAACCTTCAGACCAGGCACAGCAGGGGCAAAGCCTTCTACCATAACCATGCATAGGCAGAGCTCCCCAGGGTCTCTCCCTCCCCTACCGTGAAGCAGGCTGAGGTAACAACATTGGGGTGGGTTCTGCTACTCAGCCAGGTTGGGGCAGAGGCTCGGGACACAGAGAGCTACTCACGCAGGGAAGTCACTGGCGTACTGCCATCCTTCTTGATCGGTGCCTCCGGGGACACTGAAGTCCACATACCAGTCAGAGACCTGGGGAAGAGTGAGAGGCAATGGAAGAGCCCCTCCCCCACAAACCCAAAGACCAGAAGAAACCTGGGGGATGGGAGGGCCAAGGCTGGCAGATCTTCCACACACAGGGGAGGCAGGGCTCACCCAAGTCCATTGCAGGGATGGGGGCTTCGTGCTGGCCTTGGTGCATTCTTGCAGGCCCGTGGCATCACTCCACATGTACCGGTCAGTGGGCAGACCCCTGCAGGGGTCAGCAGAGGTAGGGCGATGACAGAGGGCTCGGGAGCTGCCACCCTGCCTTGACATCCCATCCTTGCTGGGAACTGACTGGACAAGTCACCTCCAGACCCCACTCACTCACCAGGGATGATGGACAAAACCGGAATTGGCCCAGGGTAGGGACAGTGCCAGGGCCATACCAACCAACCCATCTACCGAGGCCATGGCTCACAGTGTGGTCTGGGAGTCGGCTTTCTTTCCCTTAGGTTATGGCCTCCAACCCCCAAGATGCTGCAGCCCCTCAGGAACCACAGGAGATGTAGTTGGGAATGATGGTTCATTTTGTTCTGTTTTTGAGATAGGGCTTCTCCGTGTGGCCCTGGCTGATGAAGAGCTTGTCAGCTTGTTCAGATAGAGATACCTTAGAGATTGACAAAGTGTCCTTCTGAGCATTTCCAAGGTCTATGTAGGCCATGGAGCCTCTACCCTACTCCGCTGCTGGGTTCAAGATCTGAACAGACTGCTGGGAGGTGGTAGCACTGTGGGCGGGGCTGGTGGCAGGAAGGAGGTCACAGGGAACGTGTTGGAGCTTATACCTTGCCTAGACTCCTCCTGCTCCCTCTGTTTCCTGCAAGTGAGCGGATCTGCTTCTCTCTGCCCTTCCACCACGACATTCCACCTCCCCACAGGCCCAGGCAAGGCAGCCAACAGTGATCTCCACAGCCGGAAGCCAAGCACAGCCTTCTCCCCATTAAAGACATTACATGGATTTGCTTATTTGCTTATTTGGCACACACACGTGTAGGTCAGTGAACAGCTTTTGGAAATCTGTTCTCTCCTTCCACCATGTGGGTCCCAGGATTTGAACTCAAGTCACCAGGCTTGGCAGCAAGGGCCTAGTGTTTTCCCGTTGAGTCCTCTCACTGGCCTCTTCTTTCCTCAAATTCTTTTAGATATTTTGTGATGTCATTAGAGTGAGTATTAACCTAATAAAACTGAACGCCTTCCTAAGAGAAAACTTGTGGCTGGAGGGGTTGCAGAAGGACTCAGTGACGCATGAGATACTGAGCTAGAGCCCCCAAATCCATGTAAAAAGTCTGGGCAGGGGCACACACCTGTAATTCCAGCTTCCTGGGACTTCACATTTCAGCGTCCACATATCAGGAGGTTTTTGTTTTGTTTTGTTTTTCAAGACAGGGTTTCTCTGTGTAGTCCTGGCTGTCCTGAACTCACTCTGTAGACCACACTTGCCTTGAACTCACAGATCCTCCTGCCTCTGCCTCCTCAGTGCTGGGCTCAAAGGTGTGCACCACCACCGCCTGGCTCCCATGTATCAGTTTTATCACGACCTAGTGGTGTCCCATCATTGACAAGCTGCCCTTGCTGGCTTTGGTGTGACAATCAGCAAGCTGAGTGATTTGGGTAGCTGTGACTGCCTGCCAATAAGATTTCACAGAAGAATTTTTGTTGTTGTTTCATGAGAGGCTTCACTTATAGTCCTGAAATATATTAGTTGGTCTAGGCTGCCTGGAACTTACAAACATCCTCTGCTTCCGCTTCCTGAGCCCTGGACGTATATACGCCACTCACTGTACCCAGATCAAAAGGTTTGGGGAGGAGAGACTAACATCTCTATGGCCTTTATTCATATTTTTAAGTTTTAAAAAATGTATTCCCAGCCAGGTACGGTGGTGCACGCCTGTAATCCCAGCACTTGGGAGGCTGAGGCAGATGGATCTGAGTTTGAGGCCAGCCTGGTCTACAAAGCGAGTTCCAGGACAGCCAGGGATACACAGAGAAACCTTGTCTCCAAACAAAACAACAACAACAAAAAAAAAAACAAAACAAAATAAGCAAATTCCCATTTTTAATTTGTGTGTGTGTGCTCACATGCACACATATGGGCATGCACATATGTGAGTGCAGGTCCTGTGGAGTCCAGAAGAGGGTGCTGTGTCCCCTGAAGGTGGAGTTACAGGCAGTTGAGAACTGTCCATGGGTGCTGGGCACCAAACTCAGGTCCCCAGCAAGGGCACAATGCACTTTTTAATGGCTGTGCTCTCTTCAACGCTTAGATTAATGTATATATACACGTATTGATATATATACACACACATATTAATATATTAATGTGTGTATTAACACTCATGTATTTATATATATAATGTGTGCATATATGTGGACCCCTGTGTGTGCACATGCCATGTGCGCAGGTGTCTGCAAAGGCCAGAAGGGGCCATCAGATCCCCCGGGGCTGGCATTATAGGCAGTCAAACTCGGGTCTTTGGCGAGAGCAGTAAGCGCTGTTAAGCACAGAGCAGTCTTTATGGAGGCAGGGTTAGTAACAGAGTCCGAAGAGAGAGGAAGGGTCTGGGAGACGGCCCGGCCATCAGGAGCTCGCGCTGCCCTCGCTGAGGACCCGAGTTTGATCCTCGGCACCCACGTTAGGAGGTCCACAACTCCTGCCACTCCCGCTCTGCACAGGCACCAGCACCCATGTGCACAAGTGTGTGCGCACACGTGCGCACACACCTCAAAACAAAATAAATTTCAGTGGAAAAAAGCTGGGCAGGATGGTACGTCCCTGAAAGCCAGCACCTGAGCCTGATCTCCGGCCTCTACAGGTACAAGCACACATACAAATGCGCACACACCACATGCACAAACACACACACACACACACACACACCACACACACACACACACACACACACACCCACACACCCACCCCTAAAAAGCAAACCGGATCCTGCTGCTGCAGGCTGGCAGGCTGGCAGCCTGACGCCAGCTCCAGGCTACGCTGAGCACTGCCGTCCAGCTTTTGTCAGGTGTGTGGCCAGCCACTCACCTGCTGGTATAGCCTGTGACAGGGTTCCAGCGCTGGTTCTCATAGATGTAGACACTCTTCACGTCTGACTGTGTGTAGATGTTGCTGGTACTGCTGGCTAGGCCTGGGGGTGGGGGTGACAAGAGGCTGCTGGGATCCAGGCCACATTAGCCCTGAGGCTGCCAGGACCTCGGCCCAATAGAAACCAGGTCTGGAGGGGAGATCAGAGCCAGAGCAGCCGAGATGGGTTATCTGGTCTTAAAAAGGACCAGCTTCGCTTAGGCCTCTCTCTCCTCTGGGTTCACAAATCCTCTGGCTTCCATGGGAGAGATCTGCAAGAGGGTCTCACTGGATGTCCCAGGCTGGCCTCAGACACAGATCCACTGGCTTCTGCTTCCCAAGTGCTGGTGGTAAAGGCAAGCAGTACCACAGCCAGCCCTCCTCCGCCCTTACTGAGCCTTGCAGTCCTGCTGTCCCCTATCTCACACCCAGCAGGTGCCTGCCTGGGTCACCTTTTTAGCGAAGATGCCTTGGCCCACACATATGACCTCTGTGAGTCTGACCGTCCTCAGAGGTGGGACAGAGACCAGAGTGATTCCTGCCTCAAGGTCAGGGACGCTCTTTGGCCTGTGAGGCCCTATGTTATTAGCAGACCAAGTTCTACAGGGTCAGCTGCCATGGGGTACCAGGGCTGTGGCACAGAATATTCTATCTCAGAGTCTGCTCTTGTCTCTACCTTCTACCCTAAACTTGGGGAATCCCTGTGATGGGGGCCACTCACTTTCCCTAAAGGCTTTGGAACTTGGCACAATGGGCTCTAGGGCTGCTCCAATGGTCTCCTTCCCCCGCCCCCCCCCCCCACATGGCTTCATCTATGAAATGAGGCGCTGAATAGACTAGAGGATCCTGGTAGCTGCTGTTCTAGAACCTTCACATTCCTCTGCACTGCTGGCGGGATCACAGAGGGCACTTCAGAGGCTAGGCCTGTTCTGAGCTCTCCAGCCCCATGGATTGGTCTGGGACTGCCCTCTGTGGAGGTTGGCAGCGGTGAAGGTCACCTGTCAAGCCAGCTGTTGAGTGTCGGCACTGGGACAGCAGCCCTGGGCACTGGGAAGGGTGGCCAGATGGACAGTGGTGAGCTTATGCCAAAAAGGTTTAGGGAGCTACTCTGGCCAGCCTCAGGTGCCACCCTCACCTTGGAAGCAACCTCCGCCATAGCCGCCTGTATACACCCATGCTGTGTGGTCATAGCCAATTCCCCACACCACACCTCGGCTGTTGGCCTCTATGATCCTCAAGTGGCCTCCCATCTGTCGCCAGAACCTGCAGGGATGAGAAAAACCCTTCAGCCCTGTCATTCAGCCTGTCGCCACCCTGGAGTCAGAGCTCACATGACTAGGAACGACACACAGCCCATTTGATTCTAGAGAAAGCACAAAGCGGCACACAAGAGGCAGGGTGTCCCTAAGGTCTTGTCCCCCTTAGCCCCGAGCCACACCGACCATGGGGCAGGGCTCAGCAGTCTAATCCACAGCGCTCCCCGCTCAGTCCCTGTGCGACTGGCCACAGGGGGCTAGGTGCAGCCAGGCTTAAATGTCATGGCAGGGAGAGAGCAGGGAACGTGTCATTTAATCCTCCGTGCAAGGAACATCATGGCCAGATGGCTTCCAAGCCATCCCAGGGTGGCTACCTGGGGACAGCCTCCTCAGCAGGAGACTGGGCTGCTGTTCTGTAGGCTCTGCCTCAGCCACCAGGAGGTGACAAGTGAACACGGCTACCCATTTCGGTCTACGACTCTTGGGCTGGACTGTGGTCACTGGTAAAGGCATAAGGCCTTCCCTGGGCTCCTTCACCCAAACTCTTCCTCCTCAGAGCCCTACTCTTATCTGTCCCTTCAGAACCTCTTGTATGGTGTCTCCTGGATCCCAGGCTGTCCTTGAACTTACTACGCAACCAAGGATAACCTTGAACTTTAGACCCTCCTGCTTCCACCTCCCAGTACTGGGACCAAGGGCATGCGCCACCACTCAGTTTATGGGGGTACTGGGGAAGGAACTCAAGGTTCCTACGTTCTAGGCAAACAACGGAAATGCTCCACTCCCCTGTGCTCCCTGTGGTTTTAAACGGGATCCCCCCTATCTAAAGTGGGCACCCATCCCCATTCTCCCCTGAGCTCTCTGCTCCTCTCCCACGACCCACCTTGAGACATGCTCCAAGCTCTGCTGCTTGGTGGGCACCACTGACCTCTAAGCCCAGCCTTGAACAGGCCCAGTGGGTCTCAGGGCCCAGGAAAGCATCTACCCACCTTTCCGGCTAGTCGGTGAGAAGCTGTGGTGTGCGGGCTCAGGTCCCGCTGGGGGAGCCCTTTTTATAAACACAAGCTCTGGTGCTTCGGGGCGGGGGGGAGGGTGAGGAGGGGATGAAAGGCCAGGCACAGGTCCATTTAGGGTACAGCCAACTCACATCTGGTCGCAGGGCAGCGGGTGCTCACGGGCTTCCAGGTCTGGGCTGGGCTCACTCACAAAGATGTCACCCTTGCAGGTGACAGACCAGATGGCCTGGGGGCACGGGCGTCCATGGACCTTCCGGCTCTCACAGCAGGACAGGCTGAGCAGGGCGAGCTGGTGTGGGCACACAGCTGGTCACTGCCGGGCAGACTGAAGCCTAGGGGGGTCTCTTCTTGCTAAGCCCTCGCAACCCCTGATCACTCACCCAGTCGTTCATGTCCTGCTCCGTGGTGGCAGCCAGGCGCACGGGCCACCTCTGTCGCGTCCTCTCGGGGGTGTAGAGGGCAAAGGCGTGCTTGGCTTCATTGAGTACGGGGACCAGCACGGTCACCTCATTCAGGAACATGTGTAGGTACTGCTTGGTTAGGGGGACACAGGAGGATTCGCCCTAAGCGAGGTGCCCAAGCGCTAATGCCGGAGCTCTACAGGATTCGAGAATGCTTTGGGGCTGACTAGCATGCACAAGGCCCTGAGCTCAGTCCCCAGCACCGCAAAGACCAGGCATGGTGGTGCATTGAGAGCCTGTTTCCCACCTGCCCTTCCTTAAAAAAAAAAATCTTTTGGCAGTTGACTGCCTGGCCCATATCAACAAGTGAGACAAGATTCATCTCCCCAACCTCTAGCCTCTTCTCAAAGGCATGTGACCCCATCGAGGCCTGCCTGGGCTACACAGAGGAAGAACAAAACAAACAATAAACCATGTGACCCCAGCATCTGGGTGGCTGACGTCACAGGATGTGAGTTCAAGACCAACCTGGGCGACATGGTGAGATCCAAGCCAGGCTGGTTGACCTTAGTGGGGCTTTGTCTCAAATTAAAAAGGACTAGGAAAATACACAGTGGTATTTGGATTAAAAAATAATAAATAAAGGAAAAAAAAGCACCGCTGTTAAGAGGAGCGAGGCGGGGCCACAGCACAGGCTTCTCATGTGCCCACACTGGGCTTCACCAACGAGGGCAGATTCGGTTCGGGAGCCAGCGCCTCAGGGGCCTCTGTGTGTGCTCCTCTCTGGGAAGCCGCCCCTTGGCGGCCCGGCCTCCTTCCCTGACACGTGCTTCCCACCCTGTACCTTCTTTTCCTCGTGGACCACGTAGTAGATGAAGAGGATGCTGTCGCGAGCCCCGTCGTGCCCCGTGAACTGCTCCAGGGCCACACGGACGTCCACCCACTTGTGGGGTTTCCAGTCGCACCACCACTGCAGGGCCCCTGTCTTCACCCACACCGACTGTGGCACAGACAGCCGGGGGCGGTGGGGAAAGGTCACAGGCAGCCCCTTCCTGGAGCCATTCTAGCCCTTGGTCTCCCCTTTGCCCCATCCTCTCAGCTTCCCCTCTCTTCCGTGTATGACCGCAGCGCCATAGTCGGACACTAGGTGGCGCCAGAGACGGAGGCGTATTATTACCAGTTTCTCAGGGTGAATACATGAGCCCATGTTCTGGATAGGAAGAGGCCACCCCTGGCCCGAAGTCAGAGAGAGGGAGTCAAAAGCTGGCCCTCAAAGTTCAGGCTGCCTGAGTGCACAGTCCCACTTAGGACACGGGATAGATGCTGTGGGCCAGCCTAGGCCAAGACTTCTACAGAAGACTAACCCTGTGGTCTATTTAATTTCTCGTTCCCTGGCCTGCTGTAGCATCCGGGGTGGGTCTCTGCCTCAGAAGGTATGGGGCACGTCAAGCAGCGCGACCCTCGGGGAGGGCAGTGACGGCCTACAACCCCATTCTGACGCACTTCATCAAGATACAATTGGCTGTTTAGGCTCCCGGAAGGGGACAGAGAAGGTGACATGATTCATGTTTCCCCTCCCTGTCTACCTCCCTTGGAGGATGCTGGGTTGCCAGGACCCATGTGGAATCCTGAAGGTGGTAGGGTCCCAGGAAAAGTCCTCCAGGATAGACCACCACCTCATTCCCTATCCTCGGGGCTGCCTTGCGGCTGGGAAGACTGCAGAGCACTGCAGGTGTGTGTCTGCCCTTCCTCCCCACCTCGGCGCTGGCATACAGAAGAGGTCTCTAAATGAGCAGGGGCTGGCGTGGTGGTGTGCGCCTGAGACCTCAGCCCTCGGAGGCTGAGGCAGCTGGCTGACCACTGGGAGGCTAGCCTGGGCTACAGAACAAGTTCAAGACTAGCATGGGGGCACAGTGAGACAGGATCTGAAAAACAGACAACAAGCAGAGAGAGAGTGCAGCTGGGCCTACCTGCTCCACGGCCTGTTCGTAGTGCCTAAAGCTCTCCAGCTCCCGCTTGGTTCTTTCCGTGAGCTGCTGGAAGATCTGTTTCCTCCAGGCAGCAGTCTGGGCGGGTGTGATGGACAGCGACAGCGTCTGCACTGAGGAGGACAGGCCTGCAAGGGGCCAGAGCCTCAGGCCAGGTGCCATCCTGCCTGCAGCTGGCCAAGAGGCGGCGGCTCCCCACACCCCCATCCCTGTGAAGGCCCATCCTGACAGGCAACTTGACGGGATCTAGACTCAGTGGAGGAGTTCCCGGATTGGGTTAACTGAGGTGGGCGGCCCCATCCCAGGGGCTGGGGACCCAGCCTGAATAGAAAGGAGAACACGAGCCAAGCCCCAGCATTCATCCCTGCTTGCCGACTGTGGTAGCAGCACGATCTCTTTCAAGACAGACTGCATCCTTGAACTGCAAGCCAAAATGAGCCCTCTCCTTCAAACACTCCTCGGCAGGCATTTTCTCCCGGCAATGAGAGCAATGAGAAGGGAACTACAACAATCCCCAAGTCAGCCTGTTTCTTAATTTTTCTCTTTTCTTCTTTTGTGTATGTGACGATGGTAAGCTATCTTAATCATTTCTCCACTTTTTTTTTTTTTTTTTTGATCCAGGATCTCTCACTAAGCTCACAATTTTAGCTGCCTGGCCAGTCAGCCCACAGCACTGGGGCTTCAGATATATATTGCCACACCCCATTTCCTCGTGGATTCTGCAGATGATCTGAACTCGAGTCCTCATGCTTGCAGAGCAGGCACTGTATTCACGGGGTCATCTCCCTGGCCCCAGGCTACCTGTTCCTGCTACTGGGTTCCAACCTACAAACTCTCCTTCCTCCCTGGAGCCTCCAAGGGCCGACGACTGGCCTGAGGTCTCGGTTAAGCGGGTTGAGCTCCACAGTGCCTTCAAGCACTGCCGCTGTACCTCACCACCCAGACTGCCAAGGGAACACTACGCCAGCCCCAGGAGCCCCCTCACCTGACTGGACAGTGAACCACTTGAGCATAGAGCCTGCCTCCACCGCACAGCCACCTCCAGACACCCAGGCCCACAGAGGATGGTCATCGGCCCCATAGGGTTCCTCCACGCCCAGTGGGAAGAGCCCCAGGGAGGAGAGGCCCGTGGCCTCAGGAAAGCTGGCAGCTGGCTGGTTAGATGCCCTCTTGGGCTCCTTTAGGTCAGTGTTGGTCCAGGGTAGCTCAGCTGGTGTGGAGGTTGGGCCGTGGCCTTCGTCAGAGCCAGGGGCCTCAGGAGCCTTCCCTTTGTCCTCAGCCGGGCAGGAGTGGGTCTCCATGCTTTGCTCAGCATTCCCGCTGTTCTCAGGGCCCTTGGACAGACTCCCTTTGAGGTTCCTGGAATTGTCCAAAGATTCTTTGGGGAGAGGCTGTTCGGGGCCCTGTCTCTCGGCTTCTGAGGCGGCATCAGTGTCACTGGGCACAGATTCCGTGCCGCTGCCCCTCACCTCATCACCAAAGAAGCAGCCAGCACTGGGGACAAAACAAGTCAAACTCTCACTTCCTTGTGGAAGATGCGTTTTTGCCACTGTGACCAACCGCGTGAACTCAGGCAGGTTACAAGCGCCCTGTGCAGTGTCTACCGCTGCACACACGGACTGTGCTTCCCACGGCAGAGATGTGTGCCCCTGTTTTTAGATGGGCCGGGATGTAGCTCAGTTGGTATGGTGGCTGCCTGGAAGGGGAAAGCCCTGAATTTGATCCTCAGCACCCACTAAAACTAGGTGTGATGTCTGGAGCACATGCCTTCATCCCAGTTTGGAGGAGGTTGAGGCAGGAGTTTGAGGCCATCCTCCGGTTGCCTGGAACACACTCTGTGTGTGTGTGTAGCTCAGGCTACCCTTGACTTTATGGCGATCCCAAGTGCGAGGACTAGAAGCGTACACCACCACGCTCAACTGGAGCACTTTGTTTTGTTTTTGAGACAGGTTCTTATGCGTCCCAAGGTGGGGCTCAAACTCATTATATAACCATGGATGAGGACGTTAAACTCCTGATCCTCCTGCCTCCGTCTTCCAAATGCTGGGATTACAGGTGTGCACCACCACAGCCAGGACACGTGGTGTTGAGGATGGAACCCAGAGCTTCCTGCATGCTAGGCAAGCATTGCTCCAACTGAGCACCAGCACCAGCTTTCTATCTTCCTGATCAGGGTAAAATATACCTGCGGTTTTTTTCCTCCTTAAAATCATCTTAAAATACAAAAGGGCTGGAGCGTAGCCCTGGACTTAATTCCCACCCTGCAATAATAATAGTAACAGTAATAATAATACCAACAAAGACAGAAGGAGGAAGAATATACCTGCAGTTTTTTTCCCCTCCTCTTCCTCTTCCTTCTTCTGTCTTTGCCCCGCATGAGGGCACACACAGTCTGTCCCACCCAGCTCCTCTGGGCCCTCCTACCCCGTGTCACCTGAGGAGACTGGATGAGCTGCCGGAGTGTGACCGGTCACTTTCTCGGCCCACGATGATGGCCTTCCATGTCTTCCCGCTGAGCTCACTGGGAGTGACACCTTGCCGGAAGTACACAGCTCGGTCCTCACAGCCGATACCCCAGACCTAGAACAAACAGGGGTGCTACTCGGAGGCACATACTATCCCTCCTACCAGGCACTAGGGGAAGAACAGAGTGTTCGGTAGGACTGCAGGACAGGTAAGCAAATGCAGGCAGGAGTCCCCTTCTCAGGGCATGGGGACATGCACGTGTGTGGGGGTCAGGATGAGGATGCTAGGTGACCACAGAGATCCAATGCTACCTTCCTGTATCTACAAAGCGTGCCCCACCCCTCCTCACTCACAGACCACCCTGGAGGGTCCTTAGTGAAGTGACCCTCAACCTAGTAGAAACTCTGGGACTCTGGAGTACCAGCTCCCAGGGCACGGCCAGACTCTTCTCGGTGCCAGCGTGCTTAGAACCCGGGACAGGAGGGACAGGAGGACGGCGGGCGATGGGTGAGCTGTAGCAGAAGTCCCACGAACTACGCACACGCCTACCTGGTCATTCAGCCCCACGTTCACCATTGTCATTTCTCCAACCATCTCGATCCAGCTGGTGCCGCAGGGGTTGTGAGAGTTGACGCCCCTCCGGAACCACACCTAGACAATCAGGAGGAAGCATGCAGCCTTGGAGATCTCTGGAGATAGAGGGAGGGGGGTGTGTGTGTCCACCTTGTTTTGAGACAGGGTCTCTTGTTAACCTAGAACCTGCCAAGCAGGCTTGGATGGCTGGGCTGCAGGCTCTGGAGAGACACACAGGCCCACCTCCCTGGCCCTGGGATTACAAGCACACACCAGCATGCCCCTTGTTTACGTTGGTTCTAGGGCTGGAAGTCAGGTCCTCATGATCACAAGACAGTGTTTTACCAACTGAGGAACCAACTCCTGATCTGAGGAAGACCTTTTCATTGTATTTGTACTTGTTCACTGTTTTCTGTTGGGGGGTGGTGTGAGAGGACCATGTGCCATAGTTTGCATGTGGAGGTCAGAAGGCAACCTGTGGGGTCCGTTCTCTCCCTCCGCCACGCGGGTCCTAGGCTTTGGACTCAGGTTGTCAGCTTAGTTAGCGGCAGGCAGCTTCACCATGCGTCATTTTCCTGGCTCATTCTAGAAACCCTTTTTAAAGTACTGGGTTGGTAGGAATAGCCCCCACATGGAGAATGAACTCATGATTTACAAGACCCTAGCTTCCTTCCCTCAGCACAACAGACAGGGAGACGAGACAGACAGACAGACTTCACAAAGCACATAAGACTGGTTAACCTGACTGAGGCTGCCTCTCAGAAGATATAAATGACAAAGAAGAAAAGAGAAACACTTAATTGGCTGAGGTTGCTGGCATATTGGCTTCTGAATATCTGAAATGTTTGGCCTATAGGATAATAAACATGGTTGTTCAGCATTTTAGTCTTGGGGGTATGAGTGAGGGTATAAGCCAGCATCAAACATTCTGGAGATGGGTGAGGATTTCAACAGCAGGAAAGCTCACAGCAGGGGCCAGAGAGGGGGCTCGGCTGGCAGAGGAATTGCAGAGCATGCACGAAGCCCAGGGTTTGGTTCCCCAGTACTTATCAACCAGGCATGATGGCACACGCCTGTAACGTGACCGGGAGGGTCGGCAGATTAAGGCCAGCCTCTGCACAGACTAAGTTTAGGATGCCATCTCGAAAAGAAAAAGACTCACAGGCCTTGCACGACCCTCACAAGGGGCAGAAACCGTTGGTGCTGAGTGGCGCCCAATCCCCACCCCAGCTCCAGCTCTTACCTTGCGGTCCTTCGTGATGGCCCAGACCACACTAACTCCCGCAGAGACGTGCATGATACCATTTTCAGAAGCAGGAGGCTCCACGATGGACCAGGAACTTCCTGTCAGTCCCCAAAGAAACCCAGGCAGCCTCCGTCAGCCCCAAGTCTGGAGGGCAGGCATCCCCACGTCCTGCTCCGGGGCTGGCTACCTTTTGGGCTGTTCCTGCAGATCCCTTCTCTGACCAGAGCCTGCCCCTCCCAGAGGGTGGCCCACACAAGGTCGTGGGGCCCACAGCTGATCTGGACCACCTCCCCCGGGGTCTCCACAAGAGACCAGGAGGAGCCTTCTGGGTTGGGGTGGCTGACATCCTCTCGATACCACACCTAGGAGGGGAGAAGAAAGCAGCAAGTCTATCGTTCACACATGGGCCTCTCTGACTGACACACACACACACACACACACACACACACACACACACACACCTTCACTGGGTAGACCTCCATTCACACACACACCTCGGTGAGAAAGTGCAAAGCCTGGATTTTGGTGGGCCTAGGGACCTTTTTTTTTTTTTTGAGTTGAGAACAACTACAGATTCCAGCGTCAGCACGGAGTGCTCCCAGGCAACCCATGAAACCTGTGCCCAAACTGTGCCCCCTAGTGGCAATGTGCTCCCAGGACACCTGACACAGAAGGCACAGTCTTGGCAGTTTAGGGAGGGGAAACCCAATGTCTAAAATGTTCACTTCTTTTGCCCTTTAACCTGAATAGTTTCGACTGAATAGAATTTCTCTTTCCCCACATCTTTGCCACCGATTGCTGTCCATTGTTTCATTTTCTTGACAGCCATTCAGGCTCCAGGGAGATGGAATCTCAAAGCAGTCTTGTGTGCATGTGTTTGTGCGTGTGCATGTTTGTGTTTTTGTATGATCACGCATGCACAAGCTGATAGGATGGGTTCTATAGTGGAGATAGACAGCACACACCTATGCAACGGATTCATATCAGGCAGACATTAGGGAAGCATGGTTTCAGAGCCATCTGCAGACTGGGGCCCTGAGCTTCTCTGGTCTTGCCAACCTATACCCTTATGATGGGCCCTGCAGGACCAGCCCTGGGAAGCCTCCCTTTTGCTACCAAGTGGGCAGTGTCAGAGGATAAGTCTTTCCTTTCTGGAGCACAGGGCCCAAGAGCCACTTCTGCTGGATCGTAGGCTTGGTGCCGGGCAACGCTGGCTCACAGCTGACATTCAGGGAACACAAACTCAGCTCTGTGGGCACTACCCTCTCTCTGCATCCAGGTGGGCTATCTCAGGCTAGCACTCTCTGCGTGGCTCCTCTCTACCATCCTCCAGCAAGGCTGAGAGGAAATGATGGCGGATTCACCTAAACCTGAGAGGGCAAGACCCCAGCCAAAGGCAAGCCTGCTGAAAATAATGCACTTTGGCTGTTCCGAAGTCAGTGGGGACTTGTGGTTAATGCAGTTTCTGAATGATCATAATGTAAGAGCTAAAACCATGAGGAAGGCATCAGACCCCGACGCTTGGGGCCATCTTTGGTCCTTTTGCCATCCAGGCTTGGCTTTTCTTCCCCCCACAAACTCTATAAAAAAAGATTTCTCTCTAAATATGCATTTATCCATCACTTACTCATCTATATACCTACCACCCACCCAGTCATCTGTCCACCCACTCACCCACCCACTCATACATCCACTCGCCCACCCACCATCCGTCATCCACCCACCCACAAGTCTTCTACCCATTTATTCACATCTACTTACCATCCCTCCATCCATCCATGCTCCCACCATCATTCATCTAGCTACACACCATCAATCTAGCCACACGTCAGTCAACCATCCATCCACCCACACATCCACAGTGCCCCTAAAACACGGACGGAGGAGCTGGCAGGGAGCCCAGAATCTGTCCAAGGAAGACAAAACTGGTAACATCTGAGCCCGAGCTATGCTAGGAGGACCGGTCCCAAGGCTTCTGGCCAGGTGTTGTGAAGTCTGCTAACTTTCTGCCTAGCCAGGAAGTCCCATTTCCAGGGACAGCAGGCAGTGAGTTCTCTTCCTCCGCCTTGGGGAACCCCGGAACCACTCCAGCCCATGCCTGGCCTCCTTCACCATGTCAAATCGTGGCAGTAGTGGGGCGGTGGTGACAGTGGCAGCACGGACTTACCTTTCCCTGCAGGGATACGGCCCACACTGACAGGCGGCCCACAGGTTCATCCGTGACCTCCCACCCACCCACAGACAGGTCATTGAAGGGGTCAGGAAGTTCCTTGGGGTCATCCTTTGAGGGGATCTGAAATGAAGGGGTGAGGTGAGAAGCAATGGCTGTCATTCCCCGGTGACCCTTACTGTGTCACTCTGCCTCCAGTCCTTCCACCCTCGGCTCACTCCATGCTGCCTGACCAACATGAGGGAGGCAGCTGCGAGACTATCAGCCTGTGTATCTGGCCATGGATACTCTGTCCCTGCCAGCAGACGCCAGACCCGAGCCACTGCTTTGGAGTTGGGTCGTGGGGAAACCACTAGGTAGGGGAGGGGACATGTACAAAAGGACAGCTCTGTGCTAACTCTGGCCCGTGTGGCCATCTCCCAAATGAGGGGACTTGTGGGCTGGCCACAAGGCTCTGTGACAGGTCCCAGGGTGGGCATGGTACACCCCCCCAGGCCCCACCCCCAGGCCACAGTTAAGCACAATGACCTTGGCCCAGGTGTCCCGGGATTTGTATCTCCTATACCGGATCCACTTCCGCCTTCGCACACATGAATTCCACTTCTTGTCTCTAGTGTAGGTGGCGGGGAAGTCCATAGCATAAGTCCACCCCTAAAATACCGAGGTGGGAGCCTTAACTCTTGGTGGGGGAGGAGATGGAATCGAAAGAGCTGGGAAGGTGAGGAAGGGAGGGAGGGAGGAAGTCTGATGTCCCACACCAATGGGAAAGGGTAGCCCTGGGGGACAGGCCGAGCCCAAGCCATGGAGGGTACTGAGTTCACCTACCCCTTTCTCGGTGGGCTCCCCTCCAAAATTCTCATCCACGTACCAGTCTGATTCCCACTCCCAGTGTGGCGAGGGCAGGGCTACCCCGTCCAGTGGCCGGTGCTGGAGCCCACTCACGTCACTCCACGACCAACGGTCACTCGGCAGAAGCTTCTCACAGAAGCCTCCCATGGGGTTCCAACGCTGAGGCCAGAGGACACAGAGATGGCCTTAGGATGAGCCAGGTGGGAGAGGATCTGGGAGGATGTAACCCCTCCAGGCCTAGGGTCCCACTGGCTCATCTGCGGGACTCAAGACATAGGATCCTTTTCAGGAAAAAAAAAAAAAAAAAAAAAAAAGCCACAGGGCCCTGCAGAGTGGAGCACTCACCCGGCACCACAGTGCTCGGAGGACACAGGACGAGGACTCCCCATCCTGGGCATCTGAGAACCACGTAAGCCCACCCCCCCATGCATCCAGGTCAGAGACACAACCAGGACCCCAGCTCCACAGGCCCTGGGTACTGTAAAACTTGGGATTTAAAAAAACATGTATTTACTTATTTATAGAGAGTGTGTGTGTGTGTGTATGTGTGTGTGTATGGATGCATGTGTGGAAGTCAGAGGACAATTCTTAGGAGTCAGAGCTCTCCTACCAGTGTGGGGTTAGGAAATGAAGTGACTAGTCAGACCTGAATGCAAGCACCTCTATCCACCGAGCCATCTCACTGGCCCAAAACTTGGGGTTGATTGGCTGACGGCAGTGTTGAAGTTTGAATCCAGAGCTTCATGCTGTGCAGGTAGACAGGTACTCTACCACTGAGCCATGCCCCTATAGGCGTCCAAAACTTCGATTTTTTTTTTTTTTAAATTAAAGATAGGAGTTAATCTAGCTCGGGCTGGCCCTGAATCCACCATGTGATGACCTTGAGCTTCTGATCCTCCAGCCTCCGTCTTTCCCTGCGCTAGGATGACAAGCATGCTCACTGAGCCGATGGAGTTCTGGGGATTGTAGAGGCACCATACGTGCTGGGCAACTGACCTAAGTCTCCAGTCTGATCCCCTTGCCTTGCCACAGCCTCCCAAATGCTGGGATTACAGGTGTGTGCCACAGTTCCCAGGACAACTCAGATCTCACATGATGTGAATTACGGGATGCCGGGGAGACTGGAGTCCCAGTTCTCTCTGCAGCTCCTTGTAATTAATGCTGCTGACCACCTCAGCAACGCCCCCCCCCCCCCCCGTTACCTGGTTCTCGTAGGCCTCCTCGCGGTGGCGGATGGGCACCTCGCTGGAGCACACGTACAGGTAGACCTGGTTGTCGCAGGCGATGCCCCAGCAGCACTGGGTGGCTGCACTGACCCGCTTGAACTCCATCTGGACATCTTTGCAAAGCTCCCAGTACTGGCCGGCCGTGGACAGGGTATACACTCTCCCAAAGAGGTCCACTGCCCACAGCACAGAGGTGGGCATGGCCACAGTGCTGTGGGAAAGTCAGGGACAAGAGAAGAGACGTCAGTGTCATGGCCCCTGGACCAGGGACATCGTGGGAACCCTGTGTGCGGACTGTATCACACCACACATGGCAAAATGAAATCCAGAGAGACAGGAAGCAGTCATCATAGCAACCAGAAGCAAAACATGTCTTCCAGTATAAACTTCTGTCTTCATTCTCATTATGGGGAAGCTTTGACGGTTTTAGTTTGAGACAGGGTCTCATGTACCCCAGGCTGGTCTCAAATTTACTATGCAGCTAGCTGGGATGATCCCGACTTCTGATCCTCCTGCCTCTATTTCCCAAGAGCTGGGATTACAGGCATGCACTACCACACCCAGTTTATGTAGTGCTGCCTAGCATACAAGAAGGGCTGTGCTCTCAACCGGGCAATGGTGATGCCTGCCTTTAATCTCAGCACTTGGCAGGCAGAGGCAGGTGGATCTCTATGAGTTCGAGGCAGCCTGGTCTACAGAGCTATGCAGAGAAGCCTGTCTCAGAAAACCGAAAATAAATAGTAAATAAAATTGCTGGTTTCTACCCCCAGCATCCTACAGACTAGGTGTGGTTCATGCCTGTAATCCCAGCACTCGGAAGGCAAGTTGAAGGCATGCCTAAGCTACATGAGAACCTGTCTAGAGTCTAACTTGGGAACTGGAGATACTGGGAAAATAGTTTATCTGGGGACCTACAGGCTGCTGTACTCTCGCAGTGTGCCGTAGGCACGGGGGCGCTCCAGAAGGCACTGCCAGTGTGATGAGGGCTGGAGATGGAACAAATCTGAAAATAGGACCATCTGCCTCAGGCAGAATCAGCTCTTTTGGAACCCAGAGGCAGACAGGGCCAAGTTTTAGAAACTTCCATGACCTGAAGTACACAGATTCCAAGAGGGGGACTGGTCACGAGAATAAAGTGATGGGGGAGGTCGAGTGTTCCCTGACAACCAAAGGCATCTTCAACTGCAGGCGCTCTTTTTCCCTCTCTATCGTACGTGTACATACATATATACATACATACACACACACACACACACACACACGGGGGTGGGGTAGGAATCAGTATGCTAGCTTTCTGGGAACATCTGAAAAGCACCTTTGTCTAGAGACCTTAGTTGGGGCCCATGGCAGTTCCTCTGGGCCAGGCCTGAAAGTCCCTCTACCCATTCATAGTGACTGAGTATTAACGGTTGCCAGAACATCCAAAGTTTGAGGCCTGGCTCCATTACTTCTTCTCTTCATCATTTTGTTTGGTTTTGTTTCTCACGTAGTTCAAGGTGGCCTGGAACTCAACGTGTAGCAACAGATGATCTTGACCTCCTTACTCCACCTTCCAAGGGATGGGCTTACAGGTGCGCAGCCGATATAGTGGCTCCTATCACCAAAGCTAACCATCAGAGTAATAATGTGAGACAATCAGAAATGAGTGGTGATACACTTCCCAAGAGCCAACACACACCCAGAACTCACAATTAACACTGTCCAGTATCCCACACGATCTGTGACCACCACTTACCTCACGTTACCACTGACAAACAATCACTCATCTCAGTTTTTGTTTAAACGTTTGAGTCCAGGTCCCACTGTATAGTACAGGCTGTCCTGGACCTCATAGTCTTTCTGCCCCAGCCTCTCTGGTGCTGGGATGACAGGCTCTCTGCTGTCCTAGCAGGCTCCTATCTCCCGAGGAGAAAAATCAAGCCAGAGGTGGGCAACATAGCTCGGTAGGTAAAGGCCACCTGCCACATAAGGCTGGTGATGTCACTTCAACCTCCAGAACCGACACAAAGTAGAGAACCAAGGATACAAAGTTGTCCTGTGACTACCCGTAAGTACACACGCAAACACAAAATATTAACAAATATTTTTAAAAGAAAATAAGCTGGGCAGTGGTGGTGCACGGCTTTAATCCAGCACTCAGGAGGCCAAGGCAGGTGGATCTTTTGAGTTTGAGGCCAGCCTGGTCTACACAGCCAGGGGGTACAAAGAGAAGGAAGGAAGAAAGAAAAATTTCAAGGCAGCCAAGGTGGTGCACATTAGGTTTCAAACCCGGGTCAAATGGTTGAGGTGCCCATTTAACGTATCAAAGAGCATTGGCTACCACATTGTTCTTCCCTATCCCGAATCCCTACCTGTTACAGGGCCCTCCTGGCTGCCATATCCCACCCTCGACCCTAAACTTCTCCAGCCCAGAGGCCTGGGCTGTGCTTCCCCATATAATCCAACATTTTGGTTACCGGCCTTCTTTGTACCTTTGGGTCTCCTGGCTGCTAAACCTGGTTCCCTTCTCTCCTCTCTCCCTTGTCTTCTCCCTCTCCCCACATGGCTCAGGGTCATGTCCACTCCAGACTCTCCCAGATGTCTCTGCCTCTGTTCTCCCACATACCTATACTAAACCTTCTCCTCCACCACACCTAAGACCAGTCATATTTTTCCCTTTTCTTTCTTACTTATCACATGCCTGTAGTTCCAGCATGTCTGAGGCAAAAACAGGATGAGGAATTCAAGGCCAGCCTAGGCTACATAGTAAGATGAGGAATTCAAGGCCAAGATTCTGTCCCAATGTCTCCTCCAAAAAACCACCCACAATTCAGTGCATAAAATCAGTTAAATCAAGCTGAGCCTGAAGTAAAGGTAAACAATCAGTTAAATCAAGCTGAGCCTAAGCTCAAAAGGTAAGATGTATTTGAAACACTTTCCTTCAGATAAATGACTAAGCAATAATTTTCTTTCAGCCATAATTGAAGCTTCTGGGCAGTTAATGGAAGAATACTGGGCTGCAGTCAGAATGGAGGAGGCCCAGGCACCAGTCACTCCTGGGCTAAAGGCCATACAGGGTAAACAGCCTTGGCCAACCACAACTCCATGGGACGAACCCCCAATTTGCCACTTCCTGTGAGATCACCAGGCAACCTGACTTGGGTCATGGGGTCACAGGACTCTTGAAGTGGGTGTGTAGAGGTCTTGTGATTCTGGGATCCTGAGCTATCTTTGCTTTGCAGAAGCGAAGGGACAGAGGGAATATATCCACAGAGGGAATATATCCACAGAAGAAACCTCAACTCTTACCTCTAAAAACCTAGCCACGGTCTTTCAGCCATTTGGTTAATAAGACTCACCATCACAAAAGGAATCTGCCTTTCTGGGTCAGTTTATTCACAGGTCCCTACAGAGACCAAAAACTAGCGCGGTGGTGGCACATGCCGTGAGCTCAGCACCTGGAAGGGTGGGGCAGGAGTTCGGAGTCCAGGCTAGCCTGGCCTACATAGTGTGCCCCGTCTCAAAAAAACAAAGGGAGCTGGGAAAATGGCTTACTTGGTAAAGCACTCACCCTGTAAGGAGGACACGAGTTCAACCCATGGTTTTTTGTTTTTGTTTTTTAAAAAGACATGTGTGTCTGTGTGCTGGGGGTGGGCGGCCAGCCTCATGTCTGATCAGGTAAGGGTACCTGCCGTCCAGCTGGACAGCCTAAGTTTGATCCCTGGGATCTATGGTGGAAGGAGGGAACCCACTCCTGCAAGTTGTCTGCTGATCTCCACATGTGAGCTATGGCAAGGGTGAGAGCACACGCACAGACGAACACACCACACACACCACAAATAACAGATGTAAAAATATGTTTAAGTGAGGCCTAACGGCTCCTGCTTATAATCCCAGGGCTGGAGAGGTGGACCCTTGGGTTTCCCTGGCTGGTTAGCTGAAGCCTAATCAGTGAGGCCAGGCTAGTGAGAAATCCTGTCTTTAAAAAAACCCAAGGTAGATGGTGCAGGTTGACCTCTGGCTGCTACACCCACATATGCAGCTGCACACACACAAAGACTGAAGAAAAAAAAAAAAAAAAAAAAAAAAGCCCAGGGCAAGCAGCGGTAGCAGATGGCCCTGAGGCCACAACACAGCACAAGGAAGCAGCAGAGCCTTTACCTCTCCGGAATCTGCCTTAGGGCTGTCTCCCTCTTGCAAAGCTGTCTAGTGTGCACTGGTTATTAAAGTTGTTTCCTGGCTGCCAAGCGCAGGGACTACTCCACAGCGGTGTCAGGGTTAAAAGGAGAGGGAACAGCAGGGCTATGGGAGTAGGGGCCCTCCTGGAGAATAAACAGAGTCCGCCCAGCCCCAGCGGGCAGGAAGCGTCCTGGCTTTCAGCCGGGTCCCGCACTTGGGCGACAGGTGGGTCCACTGCCCTGCCATCAGGAGCGTATGTCTGAGCTGTAGGGCCCTGACCATCTGCCTACACTAATCCCAGGGCAAGGAGATTTGCTCCTGCAACGTCAAGGGGAGAGGGTACGGACAGGCCCCCCCGGACGCTCCATTTCTCTAAGTCACGCAGGCTCCACGACCGGCTTCTTCAAAGCTCTGCCGTCCTAAGGCTGCAGGGGGGTCGTGCTGCGAAGCGGGCGCCTGGGCCGGCGTTTGGGGGTTCCCAGGCAGAGGTGGGGCACTGCCTTGCAGGTGTGCCGCAGACAACACAGGTACAGTCCCTCTCCCTCCCGCCATCATCCCAGCCGGTGCGGCCAGTGGAGGAGGGGGAGCGGGAAACTGGGGGGCCACCCCTGCTCTGCGCCACCCCAGTCTCCCGGCTTGGAGTCCCCACAGCGCTGTCACCGATGCTACCCTTACCTGGGCCCACGCCCGGCGGGGCGGGCTCCCACTGGAAGCTCCTGAACTCCTACGGTAGAGCTACGGCCCGGCCCTCCCCGGGCCTCAGGCGAGAGGGCGGGCCGGAAGCAATAACCAATCCAGCGATGATTGGCCAGACGCACAGTGACGCAATAGCCTGGGAGCTCTGGATTGACTGCTGCTCTCAGCGGCAATCTCCCCGACAGTGGGTGGGGAGCATGCGCACTCCCGAGGCCGCGCGCGGTGCCGGGGGCCAGCCAAGCGCTGTGTGTGAGGAGATAAGGCGCAGATTGCTGCGACCCCTCCCTCAGGACTCTGGCTTCGGAGCGGTGCAGGCCCGTGGAGACTCAGGCGAGCTCCTCAGGCGAGCAGGTTGGAGCGCTGGAAGGGATTGCCTGAGGAATGCTGGCAGGTGGGGACGCACCGGACCTGGGACCGGCAGAAGATGTGCCGTGACTCTATGACGCCTCGAAGCTAGAGCCCCGAGTACAGACTTGAGTCTTTTTGGGAGGAGTCCTGGAACCGCGACCTTTGTGACTCTCAGGGTATTTATTGCTCGGTTTCTTGGAGTTGCAACCTAAATAGATGGAGCATAATATTAAAGCCGATATCTGTTTCTTGGATATACTGATATCTTCCCACTTTGTTGCAAGAATTCCCTCCCTGGAGAGAGATTTTTTAAAAAATGTCTTCCTACTCCTACGATCCCAATGATGGGCTGGAGAGATGGCTCAGTGGTTAAGACTATCCTCTGCTCGTCCAGAGGTCCTGCGTTCAATTCCCAGCACCCCCATGGTGGCTCACAATCATCTATACTGGGATCTGATGCCCTCTTCTGGAGTGCAGGTGTACATGCAGAGAGAGCACTTAGATGTAAAAATAAAATAAATCTTAAAAAGAAAGAAAAGAAAAAGACCCCAATGACAAAGCAGTGTACCAATGTTCATCCTGTGGAACCAGCGGGTTATTAGTGGGCTTTTAATCTCCCGTAGCCTCTGTACTCTAGCACCTCCCAAGACCCCATGCAATTAGAGCGAACACATGGCTGTGGGGAGCAGCTGAGGTAAGGGTCCAATGACCTTCCCATCCCCTTGGAGTCTGGCCACTTACTGGCATGCAGAGCCACCTGATAACGATGGCAGAGGATTTGCTCCAAGGACCTCATCCTACAACCCACATTGACCTCCCCAATAATCAAAAACCAAAACCAAAACAAAACTGAGAGCCGCAGTCCTTGGTGAAAGTGCTCACGTCCTGGTTTATGGGCTGATCGGTGGGTGTTGCCCTGCCACAAGCTTCTTCCGTGGTGTGCTTCCTTGCTAGGGACCTACAAGCAACACAGGGAGCTACAGCCTCACAGAATCGTAGGTAAAATAAACGTTTGTTTATTTTGGGGACGGAGTTTTGCTGTGTAGATCAGGCTGACCTTGAACCCATGGTCCCTGCCTTAGCCTCCTGGATGCTAGGATTACAGGTGTGCAGGGTCACTCAGCAACCTTTCTTCTTTACTAGCATCTCAGCTACTTGCTGCAGTAATGGAAGGCTGACAACCCTTCTTTCAAAAGCGTTTATGTGTATGTTTTCTCTGCGTTCAGGTAGGTGCGCCATCTCCATGCAGTGCCTGAAAGGTCAGAAAAGGACATTGGATCCTCTGGAACTGGAGTTGTGAGCCACCATGTGGGTGCTGGGAACTGAACCTAGGTCCTCTGTAAGAGCAACAAGTGCTCTTCACCACTGAGCCAACTCACCAGACCCCTGTGGGGATTCATGTTGGCATCCTTTTTTTAAAAAAAATCTCTTATTTACATTTTTCATAGCTCTTTCTCCATACTCCACCCAAATCCCTTCCAACACCCCAACACCAGATAGGACAGAGAAAGGGTTAGTGGGAGAGTGAGTGCAGTCTCTTAGCTGCTTCCTGCTGGTTAGGGTCGTCAGGTTCCTTGGAGCCAGTCTAATCCTTGTTTCCGGAGATCTCCAACTTGTCTCACTGCATCCACAGCAACAGGACCGGAAGGGGAAGCGGAAGCGGAAGCGGAAGCAGCAGCAGCAGCCTTGTTCTTTCTCAGGGCTTCTCCACACTCTCTGGGCCCTGGCATTTATTCTCTTTCCAGAGTCCTCAGATTTAAACTGTCTGCAGCTGTCAAAGAGCTCCTCTCAGAACCCACCAATAGTCTGCTGCTGTGGGCTATCTGAATCAGTCCCATATCCCACACCTGGGATTAAAACAAAACTGTTTATATCCACAACAGATTCAGACCTGGGGCAAGCCGCTGAGGTGCATATTTAATATACCAAAGTGGACCTGGCCTCCAGGTTCTCCCAGTATCCCTCGGTCCCCTTCCTGAACCTTCCAGTCAGGGACTGGGCTTCCTCCCCGCCCCCAAAGGCTCTTCACTGTGTAATCCAGACATTTAGGCTCTCTCTCTCTGCATGTGAGCTTTCTCTCTGACCTTGCTTTTCTGTCTCCCTCTGCATGGCCCCGTGCCCTGGCCCTGTTCCCTAGGACCCAGTGAACCTACCCGAAAGCCGCCCCCAATAAACCTGCCTTTATACTTTAATTTGGCTTGAGTCGGCTCATTTCCTCTGTGGAGAATACCTGTCAGATCCTATCTGTTTCTGAGCATGCAGACACCATGTCTGGGAAGCCCCAGAAAAACAACTCCAGGGGAAGGAACAGCAGAGGCTTCTCGTGAAGACTGGGTAGCAACCTTTCTTTTTTACTAGCATCTCAGCTACTTGCTGCAGTAATGGAAGGCTGACAACCCTTCTTTCAAAAGCTTGGTGGCGTCTGCCCTGCACCTGAGGGGTTGGTAGATTTAGCATAGAGGTGTGGGGAGGACCCTTCCAAAGCCTAAGGTGTCAGAGAGGGAAAGGAGGTGGTTAGAATACTGTCTGCCACCCTGCCGGAGCGTTAGAGTGGGCATCGGAAGACCTGGCTCCTGTAGTCTGACACCTGGAGACGGGTTTCTTCCCTGACCTCAGTTTGCTTATTAAAGGCCAGTGATGAAGCGACCGCTGTGGGCCCTGGCATGCCTGTGCACTCTGTTTCCTGACCTGCAAGCCCACTCGTCTCCACTCCCCAGCCATTCAGATTTTTAGAGTTCATTTTCTTTGCTTGCCAGGGGTCTGTTTTCCAGCCTTTATCAGAAAAGAAAATCATCGTTTCTAATTCTGTGCTTTTTTAAAGGTTTATTTATTTTTATGTTCATCGGCATGAGGGTGCCAGATCCCCTGGAACTGAAGTTACAGACAGTTGTGAGCTGCCATGTGGGTGCTGGGAATTGAACCCAGGTGGTCTGGAAGAGCAACTACTGCTCTTAACAGCTGAGCCTTCTCTCCCGTCCCAGTTCTGTCTTTTTAGGTTTAATTTTGTTTTTATGTAAGAGTGCATGCAGGTGTGTGTGTGTTGGGGGGTGGGGGGGCTTGTATTACACTTGTATACAGCTCACACAGGCCTGAAGAGGGCATTGGGTGTCCTCTGCTGCTAGCCACTGTCTGCTTGCTCTTCTGAGGCAAGGTTCTTACCTGAACCCAGGGCTCACTGTGTCAGTTAGGCTGGAAGCTGACAAGCCCCAGAGATTCCCCTTGGGGTTGGAGTGGAAAGCATTTGCGGGGCTCCCCGGCCTGTTACGTGAGAGCTGGATCCGCATTGTGGTCCTCATGATTGCAGAGCAAGTGCTCTTAACGTCAGAACCATCTCTCCAGGCCCTAAGTAGTTTTAGGGTCTTTTCCTCCCCTTATAAGCTTTGTTTGTTTTGTGTGTGTATCTGTGTGTCGTTGTACACATGCACAGCACAGGTGTGGAGGTCAGAGGACAACTTAGCGGAATTGGTTTTCTCCTTCCAACAGGTAGGTCCTAGGTGGGGTTGGATTCAAGTTGCCAGGGAGTGCCTTTACCCTCTGAGCCATCTTGCTGGCTTGCCTAGTTCGTGTTTTGTTTTGTTTGACACAGCAGCTCACCGAGTGAGCTCAGGTTGCCCTTGAACTTGCAACCTTCCTGCCTCAGCCCCAGGCATGCTGAGATTACAGGTGTTTTGCTCTGTGTTGGAGTTTTTGTTCCATGTGTTATTATTGTGTGAGTGCATGGAGAGGTCAGAGAATGACTGTAGAGCTGCCTGTCCCTCCACCTCTATCTGCATTCCAGGGATCAAACCCAGGTCCTCAGGCTTGCCCAGCAAGTGTCTGTAGCCAGTCTTCTGTATCTTTTGACCTTCCGTCATGGTTTGTTTCTTCTCCATTCTAGTCTTGGCGCTTCTCTCCCTGGCCAGATGTGCTGTGTTCAAGTTGCAGCTCACGCTGTGAGCTTTTCAGGCTCTGAGTCTCTGGAGCAGCGCAGGATCACTTGGCTCTTGCTGTTTGTGGGGGGTGAGGGAAGAAGGTTTGTGGCGCCAGCTGTTAAGCCTTCTGAATCCATGCTTTTCTTTTTAATAATTAATTAATTATCTTGGTTTTTTGAGACAGCCTCCCTGTATATCCCTGGCTGTCCTGGACTCGCTTTGTAGACCAGGCCAGCCTCAAACTCACGGTGATCTTCCTGACTCTGCCTCCCTGAGTGCTGGGATCAAAGGCGTACGCCGCCGCTGCCGCCACCACCACCACCACCACCACCACCACCACCACCACACCAGGCTAGCGCTTTGATTCCTAAGACAGTAAGGTTTCAGTTTGTCCAAAACCAAGGTATAATTAGCAGTTTTTGATGCTTTTGTTTTTCTGACAGTTCTGGGGGTACAGTTCACACACATACTAGGCAAGTGTCCTGCCAGTGAGCCAAATCTCTAGGTGCGTCATATTTGCCTAGATAACCCATCTGGGACAGGGTGTGGGATCTCAACAATAGGGCCCTTGTCTGTCAGGTGTGGGGGCCTTCTTTGATCCCTAGTAGTTCACTAGGGGGAAAAAAACGCAAGATGTGCAAACATCTGTATTTTTTTTTTTTTTTACTCAAGAAATGTAATTTGTGAAATAAACCAGTTACTGGACATAAATCTCCTTTGTGGTTTTCTATAATCATCTTGCATAAGTGCTTGTGTGTATGTGGTGTGTGGGTGTATGTATGTATGTATACATACATGTAATACATGC